TGGTCAAATTGGTCAAATTGGTCTGTGCAACCAAATTATTTGACCGATTTGACCAGTATTAAGATACTTGACCAGACCGGTCATCGGTTATATTGGTCCGGTCAAATGGTCAAATTGGTCTGGTCAAACCAACACTGATCATAACATATATTTTATTAAAACACTGCGCAGGATCACAACGTCGTAGCGTTTCCACAAAAATTGTTCATCTCCAGTAATTTTGACCAATTAAAATTTAAGATCAGGTGCCAAAACAAGCGTGTTTTGTTTTCTAAGTAAAAAAGTTACGTGTAAAATGAAAACCAAGAAACCCATGTTATAGTTAGGGTTGGGATTAGAACAATGTAGCGCTTATTACTGTATTAGTAAAACATCACGAGGAACATTTTTAATTAGGTCGCAGAGGGTGGTTTCCTAATTAAAAATTTAGAGTTATTCTTGTTTTTTTGTAAAAAAGTGGGTTCGTTTCGATTTTTACGTTACACCTGATACTGAGATTCGATTGGTCAAAAGTACAGGGGTGACCAATTTTTTTGTGGGGCGTCTACAAGGTGATATATCATAGATGTCTAGGTTGTTTTCATTGATAACTACTGCAAGCACGTCTGTGAAACAAGTGAAAGGAAAAGCTCGCCTAAGGCTTGCTTTTCTGGGGGGTTTATTAGTAAAAATTACATCTGGTTTATGGCACGGTAACTAAATAGTTGCTGATTAATTGTATGTATCTTTTCGCGACTTTTTAACCAGAGGTTGAAGACAATAGAAGCACATCGGGCCACACTTGTGATAGTTACCAGTTAGGCATCGAGACTTACGGTAGACGGTTTGTTGTAAACGTTTATTTCTTCTTCCAATGGCTTTGGAGGTTACTACTTCGGTTAATATTTTGGTTTTATGTTCTCAGGACTGATTAATTAAGGTAATTACTCCTTAAGAGGTCGGGTGGACGGAAATCGGGTATTAATTGTTGTAGGTGGTGAACGCATGCATAAAATCAAGTAACTGAAATTCTTCGTGGCCATAGTTACTGTGAACGTCCTTGTTTGGTTTTTATAATTATTCATCTTTTTCTTTTTTTTTTATACCGTTATATAGGCTATAATATGATCAAGATCGACAAATTCCTACAAGACCGACGAATTTAACTATGACTTTACAAAAAAGAATAAAAAATTGGGGGGTTTTTTTGTTAATGTAGATTACTTTTTTTAAAAAATGGTGTTTTTAAATTATTTCGACGCCTATAATTAACAAATTTACGAAATAAAATCTGTTAATTCAAAACCGTTTAATAAAGATCAAATAAACGTTGAAAACAAATAACAATCGAAATTGTATTACTGTATATAATTAAACGTTCATGTATTGTGCATGAGCATTCAATCTTGTTTAAGTCTTATAACGGAAGAAATGGTTAATAATATAGAGAGTGAAACATAATAAAATGGGTAAAACAAA